CACACACACTGTTTTCTTCCATGCTATCTACATTCTCACCTGTTTCTCCACTGAATCAGCAAAAGATTTCCCAAGGACGGATGATAATGATTCAGATTTTTCATTAGCCATACTTTGCTTGTCTGCCATCAACTCCATATTTTCTTTATCCTTCAAGGAGAAAATCATGGCATTTTTAACCTAGTGAACTAAGTGTATGTAAGCTATTGGCTAACATTTAACTTTTCAAATGTAAATTCACATGTGCAGAATTTAACTCTTTTGCAGCATTTTAGTTAAAGAAAACTAATGGAAAGCAAGAAAACAACAAAATATGATATCTCCATAAAAATAATAATAATAATATTCTACCTTTATAATCTGTGCCAGTGCCTGTGATGCCGGCCCAGACTCCATCTTCTCCATCTTAACCTCTGCCTCCATTTCTTCTTTCTCTACCTTCATTTGAGTGGCTAATAAACAAAATCATAATCTCTCCATTATCTCTCACTTGTTGATACATCATATATCATTAATGGCAGCCTTCAAATAACAACAACAATTTTATATGTTGAAATTATGAATATGAATGAAATGACCAATCTGCAGGTAGTCATAATACACAGGTTTCAACATGTACAAACAATTTTACTATTAAATAATGAAGAATAATAAATGAAGAATCCACCATAGAAATGTCTCCTCCATTAACATAGAACTGTAACCTACCTCTGACAGGAGTGGGTTTGATAAGAGGTATGGCAGGAGAGGTCCTGTTATCTTCCTGAGTATTATCCACGGGGTCTATCACCCTGAGGGCAGGGTACTTCACGTCCTCTTCCAGGTTCTCTGGAGACGAGGATGACACTATGGAACTCGGGGTGTTGCTCAACCTGAAATGAATATGCGCATAAATAATGGTGCAAAAAGTATAAAAGGAGTTCAATTCTTTGATAAAATAATTATCAGGTGTAGTCAAGTTAGTAGTAATTCACTAGGCTTATTGACAGAATTGCTTTTATTACCTGTGAGCTATGAAACAGACTAATAAAGAAAACTGCAATTACTTCACCAAGTAATTTTTTTACGTAAATAACAATGGCTGTTTATCGCATGCCATTATCAAATAATTTGATTCAGGTTCAAATATCAATATACACTAACTCATTATTTTCCATCAGAAGCTCTAATCGCCCTTACCTTGAAGGTATATCCAGTCTAGGTCCAATGATGGGGGGAGATGGAACAGGTGAAGGTGCAAAGGTTGTAATGCTACCAGCTCGACTGATGAGCCTCGCTATGGCCTCTGGCTCCTTAGTGGCCCCCTCTTCAGCTCCTGCTGCACCGCCCTCTCCTGCTGCACCACTGGTGCCTGGAAGGAGGCGATAACGCTGCTGTTGCTGCTGGTCACCAGCTGAAATCAATGTAATGGAGATGTCATCTAGGGTTTTAAAGAAATGTCTACAACTACAATGGCCAATACAATGCCATAAAATCAAACCACTGTAATGCCGCCATAGTGCTTATCACTCCCTTATCATGCAAGTTAACTTTTTTTAATAAGCTGATTAAGCACAAAGTTCACACCCAAAACTATTACTTATATGCAATCACCTCATATTAAAAATAAGTTAATTTTAAGAACAATCTGAAATGCAAAGCAGAAAAGTAGCAAAATCATTATTTCCACAACATCAAGCACTATACCTCTTTGGTTTTGCTTGGCAATCTCTCCCATCATCTGTCGCCTTTGTGCGATCTCTGTCATGAAGCGTGAAATGTGCCCACCAGATGGAGCCAAAGGCAAGGGGTGGACATTTGTGAAGGGATAATGGCCATAGTAGTCAGGGAAATCTCCAGCCTGAGAGGAACCAAAGGTACCACGAAGCTGATTCTCTCCTACAGAATATATAAAATATATAATAACAGAAAGGGATAAATGATATCACATCAACATGGATGAACAATATCTAGCCGTAATATTATTCACTTTTATCATCTCTAAAAGGGTAAGAAAAATCAAGCAAATACTCAGTTTTACTGAAGTGTTATGACACAAAAAAAACATCTTTTAATCAAAAACAATTGTCTTCTTTGAATAGAACAAAATGGAAAAACCTCTTTAACACATTATCAAAAAAGCAGTTTTAATGTTTCATGTCACAGGTCATCAGCAATGATTCTAAAATACAGCACATTTTTAGGCTTGTTTAAAGATTCTTAACCAGAGCTAATGCCAGAATGTTGCACAATCCCCACCTTGGGTTAACACAAGTTAGCATGACTTAAAAGAATTTAAAAGCTTTTTAATTCTTCTATCAATTAATCATCATTTTTTTATCAAAACCATCTCATGTAATATCTTGAGCCACCTGACCAAACTGACAAGTATTTCTAGGCGGTCCCACGATGACTGACCTGTCATGACCTCCCCACTGCCGTAAGCTGGACACAAGCTGTGATTGACCGCCACTTCTGGCTCCTGTAGATGTACTGCTGGCATGGTGCGCAAGTGTTGAATGATACCCTGGATATACTGCTCATAGTCTTCTGTAGGTTTGGGCTTTCTTGACCTCTTCTTGGGTGGCCCATCTTTGCCACTACTGCTGCTGCCCTCTTTTGGTGACTTCTTGCCTTTCATTTTCTTGAGCTTGGATGCCGGTGAGAGCAATTCTTTGGACTTTTGCATTTGCCTTTGCAACTCTGTAAAAAAGAAAATTAGGTGAATTCTTTGTAATGTGCAACACAATGAAACTGCTCCCATGATATTCTGACAATGCTTGTAACATCATTCATAAAGCCAACAGCTTGCGTGTAGACAAATTTGAAATTGCTGTTCAAATGAAACCACAATCAATCACGATCTTAAAGGAAGGATCACCCCAAAGAAAAATTCATTACTTATAAAGGAACTCCTTCAGTTTTCTCCTCTTGTCACAACACATTTTGTCCAGAAAAGAATCTGATCAACTGAGTTTCATTATAAGAATAGTCATTTTTTTCTTCAATCATAATTGAAACACTGGAGGTAAACTATTTCAATATTAAGCTGTTGATTGAAGAAAAAAAAAAACTTTATTCTTTCATTTTCTCCAATATTCTACCTTTGATTCTAAATTTCTCCTCCTCCGGCAGACAATCCCACTCCTCTTGTGATATTTCCCTCTCCAGCATCAGTGGCATGTTGTCGATCTCCTCCAGCTGGCGCCGCTGTTCTGGGGTCAGGTTGACCATGTCCATGTCATCCTGCATAAATAAACCACTGATCTACAAACAGATAATTGGTGGCATTGCAGAGAGATCTTCATCACCATGTTGATAACATTTATTATACCATTATTCATTTTGGAGCCATGTTGAAATCTCTGCTTGATTATGGTGAACAATCAATCGCTGGTACAAGTTAACCTATGTTCATTATAAATAACTGAAAACATTGTGATGGTCTTGGTTATTATAATTTGTTTTCACATCACCTCCTTCAAGCAAAAATACCACATTGTAGATTTCTAATCTAACAAAATTTTTTGCCAACAAAAACTTTCTGAAAAATCAAACGTTAAAAGACATTTAATATGTCCTGTATAAAAACATGCCGCTTCACAACATGTCCACAGTAATGCAGTTTCGTCTACTTGCCTCGCTCATCCTTCGAGCCAGAGCCCCAGGGGGTAGGTTTGCCCTGGGGGTGGTGGCTAACAGCTGTTTCAGTAACAGGTTCTGGGTGGCAGAACTGTCTGGATCTACAACAGAAAACACCAGAGATAAAATCTTATCTCGATAGTCTTGGCACAGTACACACGACACATAAAGAAAGCACAGTATAAAATATTTAAGATCAGTGTGAAGTTTTCATTGGTAAGAATTTAACAACAAGTATATAAAATTATACTAATCAGACAAACCAAATAATAGTTAGCATGGTGCTCTACAAAAACTGTTAATAATTATACATGTTTGAACTATTAAGAAATGTTAGAACCAAAACCCACTAAAAAATTAGCATAAATGAATTGGACATTTTCATGTTGGACAAAAGTAATTTGATACATGATCAAGGAAAATTTAAGTAAATGAAAAACTCATGAAAATATCTTGGTATTCAATATCAATCAGTAATAGACCTTTTGCAGGTAGATGTCATGTGACTTGATACCTCTAGACACTGCCATGTTGGAGAACAAGCTCTTCAGTAAACAAGACGAGTCAACATGGCGTCATCTAGCTGCAAAGGGCCTATAATTCCGATTACAAGCAACAACAGGGCAAGCAATCACCACTGCCCATCAAAGAAATATGTTAGATACAAATTCTTTCTTCTGTTAAATGAAAATCAATTCAAGCACTATATGATAAGTAACAATGTTGAAGAGCATTCAATGGTACAAAAGAACATATATATTAATACACATCTAAAAGTGCCACAAGCAGAAAAAATAAGGTTTTCGTAGTTAAGCTATCAGACCTACCATTTTTCTGTTCCAAACTAATTTTTCCATCACCCATGCATGAACATGTGTTATGAAAGTCTTCCACTGTTAAAAGCATGAGGTATTCACAAATAACTTCTTTTTCTCTCTCACACACACGAAAACACAGGCACAAACATATGCATGCACACTGGGTTCAACATAATCATCTTTCAATACGGACCACTTCCATTTTCTCTACAATGTACAGATATTCTCTATACTTTTAACAACACGAATCTGAATATCTTTCCATTTGTTTACTGCATTCCATACCTACCTGTTTAAATATCCTCAATTTTAATAAGACCACACCCAAGGTACATACACCCGAGCACATCACATTTGGACCATACACCATGCACTGTTTAATGGTACCATACCAAGAAAACACACACTAGGGGGAGACTGCGTAGGAACTCCCCATGCTTAAATTGCCTTTTATACCCTCTGAAGTGTGCTGTGCCACTCTTACCACCCCAGTGTATCTTTATTTATTTTTTCAAATAAAAAAAAGTCCTCTTCCACCTTGGACTTGATCAGTGCACATACAAGTTCACTCACTGAATATAATAACATTCTTCCAAACTCACTTACTGCCACTCAGTATCCGTATTAGGAAGAGTAATATAAAGGGAACAATACCACCAGACAGATGAAGTAGAACATCCAAGATAATATTTACACATATCCCTTGTATGCAGTAAGCCATGCACTATATAAGCTCCTACAACGTATATTCTTGGACATCATATTTCCAAAAATCATGCATTCTTACATATAGCTACAATTTTTAAGAGGCAACTATCGAGGAAAAAGGGGGGGGGGGGGAGGGAGCGAGGATAATAATGAGAAATAAATTAATCCTCAGATTATGGGTAAGGAATTTGGATACACCAGAGGAATGAGGTCATTCTACACCAAGAAAGTTACACAGGGTCCCACGGGCTACTTGGACAGGGTGTTACAATATATTCATTTATCACCATGAAAACAACAACAAAAACCACAAGTTATAACATAAACAATCTGTCCATATCAGCTGAATACAACAGCAAAATGCGAGAGAGATGGGACACTTTTACAGATACAGTCGAAAAATACAACACCGTATCACAAACAATATATGTGTGTATGTTAAAACATATACATGGCCGTCAACTCCGTCACCATCTTCCAGAGCACATTCCTTACCATCACTCTCATCCTGTAAGCTCACACTTTCTCCTATAAACACCTCCTTTCTCTCATACTGGGTCTGGTCAAACTGCCCAGCAGCCACTGCATCTAGGGTGCTGTCCAAGGTGTTGTCTAGGGACGAGGACGGCCACACCATGTGACCTTGACCTTGACCACCTTGACCTTGACCACCCTGACCTTGACCTTGGTGTGACAATGAAAGGAAACTTGAAAGATCTGGGCCTGAAATCTCAACCTACCTTTATCAGTGAGTGGCTGTAACACTCTCCTGTATATGACCCCATAAAATTGAAGAATCTAGATTTTTTTCTATTGAAAATTATTTGATAATTATAACTTATCAGCACTTGTTCCACCTTGGTAATAACCAAATATGCTTTCCAAATTACCAAATATGCTTTCCAATCAAAACAGTGATAATACATGAGTCATTTTAAAAGATAAAAGGACTTGACTGATCACGGCTTGGATTAACGGTATCGGAATTTGAAGAGCATTTTCAATTAAGTTTTCAGATAGAAACAAAAGAGATTGGAATAAGTGCTGTACGTGTCAGGAATAAATCAACCAAAAATAAAATTAGTAAATTACAGTGAACACTAGCCTATAATCTGCACCAAAAAAGCACTGTTGGGCATACAACACCCTGGTAAACAGAGGTTTACATGCTTCAAAATTTAACTGTGCCTACAGAAGTAAGTATTATGGGTTCTTTCCCCAAACTTAAGTTCTCATGTATGCATTCTCATATATTGTCAGTACAAAGCCAGGTGTATGTTTCAACATGAAGATGAAAGTTTTTTAAAAAATGCAGTCGCATCAAAGATGCAACAAAACATTAGTTAAAAAGTCTTGTAGTTGACAGAGGTATTGGATGCCCATAATGTTAGTTTTCAATCTGCACTACACTGCACTCCAGCTGCACCAGGCAGCAGACACATGAGATCAGACGATCATCTCCAGCAAGATAATGGAATTTTACGAAAGAAAAAAAATTAAATAAATATACATGTGAGAAATAAACTAAGTGGCTTGTGCTCAATTGTAACTTCACTTACATAACAGCCAAATCTCTATTTTACTGCATAAAAGGGATCGTTTGTGACATTATGGTTTTGTCTAAACAGTCAATATCCATGTCTTTTGTTTCAGTGATAAAATAATATCCTATCTCAAAAATAAGTTTTGTTAGGTTAAATTTTGTTTAAAGGAGTGAAGATAACTATTTATATGGTCTTTGCTTTAGCCAATTGACAAAAAGTAGTCTAGAAACACCAATGACACATCAGTCAGTTAAAAATTATTATTATTATTATTATTATTATTATTATGGACCCCTATCACATGTTGACACAAGCCAAGTTGGATTGTCAAATCTTGTCCTACTAACCTAGACAAGCCTCTCAGTAGAATGACCCACACCAATCTCACATTTCTGCTACCCCCCTATCTCCTTTCTTCCCTCCATACATACCATATCCACTGCTATCCTGTGACGCCGCACTGGGCGGCCGATATGTTTCTTTTCTTTCGTACATCTTCTCGTCAAAGTGACCAGAGGCCACAGCGTCCAGAGTATCGTCCAGTGAGGTCCGTCCCATCGGAGTGGACGGGCCGCTGCCTGAGATGGTGTCGGGGGTGGAAGCAGATCCCTCCTCTCTCGCAGGTTCCCGTAGCTCTAGGAGCTCTGGGCGTATCTCTGCATCTGCATCTGATATGGAAGGGGGAAAAATGTTGTGAATAAGACTTGAAGCACTTTGAATTATTTTTCATGGTTATGATTCATTTCCTGAATTTCTCCCTTTATTACTTCAAAACTTCTTCTATTTTCATAAAATTAATGTTTATTTTCAAACCATCATAACTTCAAACTAACAAGTAAATATTGTCTGAAAAATGTAAACTTAAACTTCTCTTTCTACCCACAGTTTGTGCCTACCTTCAGTTTTCTCTCCTTCCTGCTCACCAGAGGGTGCTGCAGTAGCCTGAGGTTTCTTCTGCATCATGGAGAACACAGAAGGAGTGCAGATGGGCCCCGGGATGGCCAACATCTGCGTGCGCTGCGGCGGACCTCCAACTGGGCCCATACTTCCAGCAGGAGGAGGAGTGGGAAGCTTTGGTATGGAGGCTAGGAACAAATAGGAACCAAGGTTACAGATGACAAAAAGGGGAAAAATCATTTTTACATATTACAGAAAAAAAAAACATTTACTTAGCAAGATCTGGTAGCCCAGGCCTAACATATATGTGGTCAGGTCACATTATTTAAAACACTGTCTAGTAATTTCCAAAAAACCTTTTCAACTAAACCCAAACAATGTTTTGATAAAGTCAATAACTTGTTTCTTTATGACGCTAACTCTACTAAAGGCACAGCAAGGGTCTTCTTTCTGTGCTCATGCCTAGGTCATCAAAGGAATTACAAGTGACAAAAAAAAAATAGTCTGCTTTTATGACAAAAACCATGACAACGATAGCAAATTGATAGAAACCAGGACAACTGATGTAAAACAGAAAAGAAGACAAAAAAAATCAGAATACATTCTGTCAAATAAAGGGAACCGGAGAAGATCAGCATTGGTCAGAATTNTGCTCTCTTTCTCAGACTCACCAAGAATCTGCTCAATGGACTGCTGTGTGACATCTGGCACGGGCGGCGGAGGTGGTTGACTTTCTTCTGGGTCTTTCTTCTTCCTTTTACGTTTTTTCTTGGTTTTTTCCTCTGTCCCTGGGAACTGTGGGAAGTTGTCACTTGGCGGGAAATGTGGAGGTAGCGGCATACCTGAACAGATACAGCATCAAACGTGTTTAGAGGATTTTTTCACATACATGAAATATATCGTAAAAGTATTCCTATATCTATGCATTATTCCAATTATTATAATACAACTTGACTGGCTCCATCAAAATGCTTATATATTATTTATACATTCAACACAGAATATCGTGGCTGCATGAAACCAAGCAAATTGTTGAAGAACTGCATAAATCATTTATTTATGTACTTCAACCTTTATACTACACATACAGATTGTCAAAGTTTGCCAAATCTGAGACACAAATAGTAAATAAAAAGTCAGACAACTACACAAAAACATAAAACAAGTCATTTTTAGTCACATATGACACCATTAACCCATCAGACTACTTACTAGTGCTAGGACTTAACTGACCACTGAAAGGTGACCTCACTTGTCCATGAGGACTGTCCAATGGTGACCTAAATTGCTGCTGGTCAGCCGACATTGGAGGCCGAAACTGACCACCTGGGTCACCTGGCATCCTTGGACCTGAAAACCAATAGTTTGCATCTAATCACTATATACCTCCAAAGATAATCACTTATCAGGCCGAAATCCACAAAACAATTACTAAAAAGTTGAACCAAAGTACAAAAGGTTAAGGTTGGATTTATATATGCATCCTAGCTCATCAAGATCAGCCAGATTTACAATTTATGCATGGTCAATATGGATTTGCATTATCCTGAAACAACACATCCTCTCTGGGGGCATACTTCCAAAGCAACAGCATATGTGATCCATAGAAATACTGTCCGATACCGTGACCATGATGTTATTTATACCCAAACCTGGTCGCTCACCTGGGAACCCACTGTCCCCTGGAAACCTAGGCCTCATTCCCTGGGAAGGATCCCCTGGAAACCTGGGCATTCCCTCCTGGGGCATTCTGGGACCAGGGAACCCGTGACCTTGGCCCTGACCTTGACCTGGATCTGGAATACCCACTTGCTGGGTGAACATCTGCATTTGCTGGATGAACTTTTGTCTCTCTATCAAAAGAAATTTCCAAAATTATCACACAAAATGCTAATGACTTCCATGCTATTTTCAATAAAAATAATAATAAACAGACGATAAAAAGGAAGGATTTCACTAGTAGTACAATGATCATATCAAAAGTGTGACCTTAAGTGTAAAGAGGCTATTTGGAGTTGTAAAATATCCAAATTTCCATTGAAAACAATTGAATTGTATCACCATAAGACTGATTTAAGGTTGGAATAAAAATGTTCCCAAAACATCCACAACTTCAGCTTTCATCTTGTTTATATCACTTACCTTCTGGGGTCAGCGCGCCATGTTTTTCCATTTCTTGCAGAATGCGCTGTTTTTGTTGTTCAAGATGCTTGTGCCTTTCTTGCATCTTCACCAGATGTTCTCTCTGCATGTACGTGTCACTGAATGGGTTGTTCTCATCCTGCAATAAGACCAATATACTTTGTGAAAAGACCTACTACATGAAGTATTCATTACTCATTACAGTTCTGAAGTCATTGTCACTGGCTGTATTGTTTTCATCCTGTGACTACAGCAAAGTTATACCAATAAAGTATTCATGACATACATCCAATGCCATAGACAGTTTTATATAAAATACACCATCACAACATATCATGCCCTAAAAATAATTCATTTTTGTATACTGAGACTGCCTGAATTATTCATGCAGTAATTCATCCCTGTATGTTATTGAAAGCTGCCATTGAACTCACTGATAAATAAATAATATGGCAACCACATTTTAGCAATCAGTTCTTCACAATCAATTAATAAATAATGTCTAAATGCCAAAAACCGTTCAATCTCAAGATTCAATGACATCACAATCTTACACATATTATGGTATGGATCAAATTATGGTCTTATAAAACCTAAATTTTGTATTACCCACTAATGAACAGATATCATTAACGTCTCTTAACATTGTTTCTACTTCTGTATAAATAACACACTCACATGTGGACCCATCTCATCTTGTTATGGTTAGAAAATTAGTACTTTCCCTAGTATTTTTTGACAAAGCAAATACAAAAGTGACCTTTGTTAATTTTTGTGTTAACTTATATCAAGGTGAACAAATTGTTATTATTCCTGCTGTCTCTTAACCCTAAAAATATCACAAAATAAATAAATATGCATTACACAGGGCTCAACATTGGAAACTTTCTCAACTACTAGGTCATGGTGGCCAAAAATAAACAAGCTGAAGCTAAAGTTTCTCTTCCAATTAAATTTTCAAAAACAAGTTACTCATCCAGCAGAACTCTGTCAAGCCCTGAGTAAAACACAACATCAAAAGTGTTAAAGAAAGTAGTGAAATACAACTTTACTACAGCAGCTTTGTATGTTAAAATAGCTTCCACGTCACAGGACAATATGGCCGAAAACTATTCAGTACACATCATGGATAGATTTTGCCACTTTGAGAAAGTCACTACCATTCAAATCTTGTTATTCTAAGAATTGGAAAGTGATCTTCCACTTTGTGGGATAAAAACAGCTGACAATTTAAAGGTTTTTTTTAATAAATTTCCCCAAAGAATAATTTATGGCATTGACTGTTTTAAGAGATGATAAAAAAAGCCTACATTTCTTGCCATAATTTTTATCACAGTTTTAGTCAAAATTTTTTCCATTACTTTTGTGTCTCAGTTCAGCATCATAGGCCCATTTTGTTATATATATTTTGGGAAAAAACATTAATCACGAAACATGCCTAAAAACTACAATACACCATAGTTTCACATCAAATGTCAGCCAAAGAGAAGAAAAGTCAGAATGAAGAATGAAAAAAAAAACATTTTTTTGCATTAGTATTGTTAGTCGGCCAAGGTGCAGGTTCTCCAGAAGTAGAGCACAGTCTGCTTATGGAATATCTGAACCTTGCCTTGTCAACTAAGCCACACACAAGTATAGTCGCTAGAAAAGACGGACACACCACACAGAGCTTAGATCTAGATAGCATGCTGTAATAAAGTGGTATTTTACTCCATGGTGTCCCTGCATCCCACGTACAGATGGTACCACGGTGGTGCCGGCCGCTGGTGCTGCTGGGAGAGGCTGGGACGCTGCTGCAGTAGATGGTGCTGGCGCTGATGACGGCTGTGTAGGGGTGGGAGGCTGATTCAAGAGCCCAAGGCGCTGCTGCATGTACTGGTCATACTCCTGTCTCTGCGCTGCTGTTAGCCTGGCGGAATGGCCTTGACCTGGCATTCTAGGGGGAGCAACTGACATCCCTGGTCCTGCAGCAGATGAAGATACAGGGACGTGTTGACCTTGGGGTATGTTTGGTGGTGGCTGTGGCATCATACCACCAGGTGGCGGCTGCTGTGGCATCATGCCACTTGGCGACTGTGGCATCATACCTCCTGGCGGCTGTGGCAGCATGCCAGCTCCTGATTGTGGCATCATGCCAGTGGTGGACTGTGGCATCATGGAAGATGGCGGCTGCGGCATCATGGTGGTAGGTGGTTGCTGCATCTGGGGTGACCCGGGAACCATGGGTCTAGGGTGACCTTGACCCTGCATCATGTGACCTGGGCCCAGCTGCATCATGGGATTGGGCTGTTGCATCATGGGAGGTTGCTGTGCCCCCATGGGATTCTGACCTGGCTTAGTGGGAGGGGTGGGTGCTGGCCAGTTCACACCATACCGTTCCTAGAAACAAATGCGAATTATCATTCAGTGACAGAAATAATTTCTGTAATAACAAAATCCTTTAATTTGTACATGTAACAGAATTCAATACTTGTTATGTAATGGCAATACTCTGATAATTTCCATCTTTAAAAAAATTATACTGAAATGTTTCACATGAAACAGAAACCTCATCCAGTACATTTGCCTGCTCAAAAGTGCAAGTCATAACTGCAATATTAATCCACACTTTGCACATAGACCCTTGCGCTCACCTGCTGCTTCTGCCTGTACTCCTGTATGAGAGTCTGGTGTTGTCTCTGCTGTTTTCTGACCTGGTCAAGCTGTTTCTGGACAAGGGTGATCTCCTGGTTGGCCTTGTCCAGGTCCTGCTGTTCTTCTGGCTTCAGCTCTGCCCCAGCTTTACGGGCCTAGAATTAAAAGAACAGATTTCAGAAAGATTCTTGGTATAATATCCAGGGTTGGACTGATTATGCACATCCACAACCATACAAAGTACACATATGCACACATATGCATGTACATACACATATACACCAATATACAAAAGCAAATATTCCCACCAGTGATAAACATCAATCCTACAACACATCCTTGTGTAAACTTACCCACTCAGTAAAATCTCTATCAAATTTTTACAGGCAGCGATTATAAATAAGTAAAAGAAGCAAACCAGCTGTGACACAAAAAGGACTCCCTACCACTGTCAGATGACAGATTAATGTTGTAGCATCAAGGTTACTTGTTCATATGCTGGTATTGCTGCAATTTAGTCACAGTTATCTCTGGGTACTTAGTGCATATTGGTTAAATGTTACGTTTTACAGATCACAGCCTTAGCTTTGCTGTGGAATATTTTATTAAGACACAACCAAAAAAGTGTGATAAGAAATAACACTTGATTCTAATAAAAGAAACATGCCCAACAGTATTATTGGGGAAAAAATAAACTACTGAGACTGCTTGTCTAGACAAATCACCAAAAAAATTAAATTTCTCTGACATCATATACAAATATTTTTTGACCTCCAAATATTTAACTGATATTATTCTGACAAAATAACTTTTAATACTTCTTCACAGATTGTTCAAGTCAAGCGAACTCATTCATTCCTTTTCTGCTTGTTTAAAGTCAAGTATATCTAACATTATACATTTAATTTGATTTTTCCTATAGAGTTTTTGCAAAACAATTATCAAATCCAGCTGCCTGCATTCGGCTGACAAAATGTATTATGCACAAGCAGAATATGGCATTACTTCTTTTCAGGCTAAATTATTCACACCTACCACCATTACCAGAGGCAGAATCAGGCCACACCGAAAAGTGGTGAAAACCCAAGATTTAAAATTATCTGTTAGGATAAATGCCTGTCTGCTATACTGAATCAGTTCCCCTCTGTGTAACATTGCAGTAATTCAAAGATTATTTTTATTGGACAATTTTAGTCATTTTACTAGTGACGTACTAGAAATCTTGAGAAACCATTCAGGTTAATGACCTTAAACAAGGTTATACTTGCCCCAGATTCACACACACAAAAAAAAGTCAGTTACCTGAATTAGTTGATTAAGATTTCCATGAGAGTGCTGTTACACTGCTCCTGATAGGGTAAGACTTACCCGTGTGACCATGTAAACTTGGTAATTAAGTTCTTAGCCAGGGAACCTGATTTCAGTTTTTTTTTTGTGTGAAAATGGGACCTGGTGTACTTATAATTATAAATTTCCATATGGAAATACTTTCACGCTAAGTCTCATAATGATTTTCACTACCTTAAATAAACTACAACCATTTTTTACCAAAAATTTTCAGGGATCAATGCACAAATAAGACAGTTCTGTTTCAACATCCTGCTATCAAATAAACTTTCCAAAATGGCAGCCAAATCAAACATGGCATCTATCAGGCACTGTTTGCATACCTGTTTCTGCTTGTTTTGTATAGATTTCTTTGTCTTCCTCTGTTTAGCTATCTGCTGTTCCAGATATTTGACTTGCATACTGAGCAGATGGGCATGCTGCATCAACCACTCCTCGTACTTGTATTGTTCTCTTCTCTCCGCCTCACTGAGAGGATCTGTGCCTGGAAAAATTCAAGTATGACCTAGATAAACATTTGCTTCTCAAAATCATTTTTGTAATTCTTTGCTGGGCCACATCTTTTGAGAGGACTTATAGAAGTTTCAGGAAAATAGTGAATCTTTTCTTTTATAAATATAGCTACATCAACTTTATTAGAACAAAAATTCCATGCAAGAAACATCTTCACATAAAAATCTTTATTAACTTTTTGTCCAGATATTTCTAATAATGAAGGAATATTATACCCACAAATTTGTACCCATCATGCCAATATTAATCAAAATCAAGATCAACCATTTTCATTACTTACTAGAACACATTTTGACCAGAAACTAACTCATAGTTCAAAACTTTTAAATCCCCCCCCCCTTTTCCTTGCATTTCTGACAAAATATAGAAATATGAACTATGGAATTTATTCAGACTTAGTTATGAATAACTGTATGTATAAAACTGTACACATACCTTGAGGAGGAGGTGGGCGGGGTCCCATGCCTCCCTCTGCTGGTGAGCTACCAAAGGGTGAGGGGGTTCTGGGCATCATATGGGGTCCCTGGGGGCGGCCTGGGTATGGAGGTGGAAACATCCCCTCCCTGGGGCCACCCATAGGCCCCTGCCACTGATCACCAGGTCTGCAAGAATACAATAAAAGGATGCATTCAAAGACCACCTCTTATAAATCTGGGCTCACCTTGCCACCTTGTTGAATTAAGACTCTTAAGAATACAATTCTGATTACTAACTACAGAAGCTATAATATTTGCAATAACAACGAATGCTTCAATTAGAAACTTGGTAGTGTTCTTCCTGCAGCTTGTCTTGTGGCTCATCTTATTCATGTTTGATAAACAGGTTCTGTTGCAGATACTGCCAGCAATGGAACTTGCTGCAGGCCTACTGTGTTGCCCTTCTTACTTCACCATTTTACTTTGAAGGCCAGACTGTTTTTCAGTCTTCTTTAACAGTCAGTAACACAGCAGTATGTACTAATGATCAATAATTTTATGACATTGACTTATAATGAACCACAACAGTTCCATAAATATTTCTCAGTTTTAATCTTCAAAGAATATGATGCAGCGGTTACACCACAATCCCATGCTAGAAATTACCCATCATACCTTGGCATCCCTTCCATGCCCATGCCTGGCATTCTAGGTCCTGGCATGGGGGGCCGCCTGCTCTCAGTGATGGCCAACTCAGCCCTGCGTTTCTCAAACTCTGCGTCGGACATCAATCCGCTGTCCCTCTTCTGTATCAACACCTGCTGCTCCGCCTGCTTCTGCTGGTCCCGTCTCTCCTGTCAAGAAAGAGCAAGATGGAGGACGTGTGTGAATATACTCAAAAGTAGCTCTATCAAAGCAACAAAGTGCATGATAGATACAACACATTTATCACTTTCATTGTACAATAAGAGGAAGATGGCTGGTTATCTTTAATCTATTATCAGCAAAGCAGCATGACACAAAACTAAATCCTATAGAGGAAGATGGCTGGTTATCTTTAATCTATTATCAGCAAAGCAGCATGACACAAAACTAAATGCTACTGATAAATCGGATTATAAAAGTTTAATGCAATCACATACACAAAAGCTCACCAACCTACTGCAACAAATTATACACAAGTGACAGACATTGACTATAAATCAACCCACCTGTTCAAGCAATTCTTGTAGTAATAACGGTTGCTCTTCAAGCAGCACTGGCTTGTCTTTCCTTGGTGCTCCCATGCCACCTGGCATCTGTGGACTGAACTGTGGCTGCTGGCCTGGAGGCACCATGCCAGATGTTGGAGGTACCATGCCAGGTGTTGGAGGCACCATGCCTGACCCTGGCATCCTGGACTGTCCTGGGTGGGGTGGAAAGGGGGGTCCTGGCTGATGATGCATACCTGGGGGCATCATTCTGGGTCTCATCCCAGGAGGGAAGTGCATGCCAGGGCCCATGCCAGGATGAGGAGTGGCTCCCATGCCAGATGTTGCCACTGGCATGCCAGGTCTTGGCATCCCCTGCATCATGGACAGTGGTGGCATACCTGGCATGGATTGGACAGTTGGAGGCTGGCTTGCGGCAGACTGTGGCGTAGATGCTCTCGCTGTGGTATGTGGCATACTGGTATGTGGCATGCTAGAATGTGGCATGCCATACTGTTGGTGAGCTGTTACCATATGCATACCCTGTGCTGCACTGGTTGGCATACCAACTGAAGTAGGCCCTGCACCTGAAGAGGGCATCATGCCAGTAGCCATGGACATTGAAGTATTTGAGGCTGGCATCATGCCAGGTGTGGTGGGCATCATGCCAGCTGGAGATGACATCATGTCATTGGTTGTAGGCTTGGTGCCAGCAGATCCAGAGATTGCAACAGCAGATGGCATCGGAGGATGTGTGGTATTTGGTACAGCTGAATGAGGTGTTGTGGCAACAGCTAGGACTGGTGGTGGTTTGGTCTCTTCCTGGCATGTCTGAGGTACAGTCAAGTCTGCTTCCGTCTTTATATATTTTTGTATTTCAGTTCCTGAAGCTACTTTCTGTTCTATCTGTCCTGGTTCCTCACTAACTTGCCCTGGCGCTACTCCCTGCTCACCAACTGCTGTAGACCCTTGTGGCTCAACCTTCACCTCACTTCCCCCCGGGTGTTCTACCTGGCCCATAGAGGGCACCACAGGTTGTACAGATGGTGGCATATTAGTTACCACAGGCTGAGCGACATGCTCTGTAGTAGATGCAGTTGTCTGTACAGCAGGAGAGATTGTCGTTTCCATACTTACTGGTGCTGACACAGTGCTGGCAATGGTAGCTTGGATGGCATGTTGTGCCTCTGTATTAACTGGTGCACCAGAAGGTGTTGTCAATTGGGCACCTTGTGAGGAAGCTGACATAGGTGAATGGCCAATCTGTGAGACCTCTGGAACACATGGCATGGAAACTGTGGCTTGTGGCATGGATACTGGAGCTGCTGGTATTGGTACATTGCTACCTGGCATAGGTTCTGCACCAACAGCCACAGGTATTGCAGTATCAGAGACACCAGTGGCTGACTGGGAATCTACAGCTGTAGCTGAGTTTGTGGTGGAGGAAGGGGCAGCTTCATGTGGGCCTGGACTCACATGCTGGTCACTAGTTGGCACTGTGGAAGTTGAAGTGGTATTGGATTGACTACTAGCAGAAGTAACATCATTTTCATCTCCAGGACAGTTATGTCCATCTGGGCACTGTCCAGCCCCAGAATTTGTGGTGGGGTCATTTTCATCACCCGGACAGTTATGTCCATCTGGGCACTGTCCAGCCCCGGCATTTGTGATGGGGTCATTTTCATCTCCAGGACAGTTATGTCCATCTGGGCACTGTCCAGAACCAGAATTTGTGGTGGGGTCATTTTCATCCCCTGGACAATTATGTCCGTCTGGGCACTGTCCAGACCCAGCATTTGTGGTGGGGTCATTTTCATCTCCAGGACAGTTATGTCCATCTGGGCACTGTCCAGAACCAGAATTTGTGGTAGGGTCATTTTCATCACCAGGACAGTTATGTCCATCTGGGCACTGTCCAGCCCCAGCATTTGTGGTGGGGTCATTTTCATCTCCAGGGCAGTTATGTCCGTCTGGGCACTGTCCAGAACCAGAATTAGTGGTGGGCTCATTTTCATCTCCAGGACAGTTATGTCCATCTGGACATGTTCCAGCACCAGAACTAGTGGTGGGGTCATTTTCATCTCCAGGACAGTTATGTCCATCTGGGCACTGTCCAGCCCCAGAATTTGTGGTGGGGTCGTTTTCATCTCCAGGACAGTTATGTCCATCTGGGCACTGTCCAGCCCCAGCATTTTTGGTGGGGTCATTTTCATCTCCAGGACAGTTATGTCCATCTGGGCACTGTCCAGACCCAGAATTTGTGGTGGGGTCATTTTCATCTCCAGGACAGTTATGTCCATCTGGGCACTGTCCAGCCCCAGAATTTGTGGTGGGGTCATTTTCATCTCCAGGACAGTTATGTCCATCTGGGCACTGTCCAGCCCCAGAATTAGTGGTGGGGTCATTTTCATCCCCTGGACAGTTATGTCCATCTGGGCACTGTCCAGCCCCAACATTTTTGGTGGGGTCATTTTCATCTCCAGGACAGTTATGTCCATCTGGGCACTGTCCAGACCCAGAATTTGTGGTGGGGTCATTTTCATCTCCAGGACAGTTATGTCCATCTGGGCACTGTCCAGCCCCAGAATTTGTGGTGGGGTCATTTTCATCTCCAGGACAGTTATGTCCATCTGGGCACTGTCCAGCCCCGGAATTTGTGGTGGGGTCATTTTCATCTCCAGGACAGTTATGTCCATCTGGGCACTGTCCAGCCCCGGAATTAGTGGTGGGGTCATTTTCATCTCCAGGACAGTTATGTCCATCTGGGCACTGTCCAGCCCCGGAATTAGTGGTGGGGTCATTTTCATCTCCAGGACAGTTATGTCCATCTGGGCACTGTCCAGCCCCGGAATTAGTGGTGGGGTCATTTTCATCTCCAGGACAGTTATGTCCATCTGGGCACTGTCCAGCCCCGGAATTAGTGGTGGGGTCATTTTCATCTCCAGGACAGTTATGTCCATCTGGGCACTGTCCAGCCCCGGAATTAGTGGTGGGGTCATTTTCATCTCCAGGACAGTTATGTCCATCTGGGCACTGTCCAGCCCCGGAATTAGTGGTGGGGTCATTTTCATCTCCAGGACAGTTATGTCCATCTGGGCACTGTCCAGCCCCGGAATTAGTGGTGGGGTCATTTTCATCTCCAGGACAGTTATGTCCATCTGGGCACTGTCCAGCCCCGGAATTAGTGGTGGGGTCATTTTCATCTCCAGGACAGTTATGTCCATCTGGGCACTGTCCAGCCCCGGAATTAGTGGTGGGGTCATTTTCATCTCCAGGACAGTTATGTCCATCTGGGCATTGTCCAGCACCAGAATTAGTGGCAGGGACATTTTCATCTCCAGGACAGTTATGTCCGTCTGGGCACTGTGTGCTTTCAGAAGCCTCAGAAGGTTCAGTCTCAGGTGGCTTATCTGCATCAGCAGAACTAGGCTCGCCTCCTGCAATCTGCTCCTGGCTCCCCACATCAGCAACTGGTGATGCTTTATCTCCTGGCATTTCTTGCCCTACAGAATCTTCCACATTTCCCTCACTCTCCTTATTACTGTTCTTTTTACTGAACTCCAGGAACTGTGCCTGGAACGCACCCACTCTTCCAGAGGTTTCTTCTGCAGCAGATTTCTCTGCATCTTCTCTGAGACCTAGGTGTTCATCAAAGATGGTCTTGTCTTGGGCCTCTGAAAGCGCCCTCTGGATCTCAGGGTCAGAGTAATCTGATAGATTCAGGTTATCTGAAGCTGAAAAAGTTAAAAAAAATTATTAAATTTTCCATGCATTACAATAGACTGTGAACTGAAACATTATAATGTTATATTCTAGTGTGATTGTTAACTTCCTGTTTGATGTCTTTCAAATCTTTTCAACAAAAATTTCATTAACTGATTTCATACTTACGCAGTAACTCATCTAATCCATCTTTTTTCTGCCCTTGCTGACTCTGGCCTTGCGTCATCTGATCTTGATCTTGTAAAGCCTGACCTTGACTTGCCTGACCTTGACCTGACTGTCCTTGACTTTGCAGACTTTGACCTTGCTGTCCGTGATTGGCAGATGGTGTAGACTGACCCGGGTGAGGAGTTGTAGGAGGTGTAGAGTAGGGTGTCCCCCTGGGTGAAGCCTGCTGACTTGAGGGTCTAGAAGGCGGGTGTGGTGGTACCCTTGCTTCACCTACTGCAGGGGGTGTTCCCTGCATCTTCTGCCGCACCAGGTGGTCATAGGGGTCTAGAGGATTCCCCGAGGTGTGAGGGGGTGTCCCAGGAGTTCCTTGTTGTTGCTGCTGTTGCTGTTGTTGTTGTTGTTGCTGTTGTTGTTGTTGCTGCTGCTGTAATTGTTGTTGCTGTTGGGCAGCTTGTAACTGTGTTTGCCTCAGTCTCTCCTGAAACATCTTCAAATATGGTGTCCTGTGTTGTTCAGCTGGCGTCATCTAGATAACAAATTTCATTCATTTAGGGTGACTATTATATGAGAAATGATAGAAAAATATAGATGTACATTATGCTAATTATTTTTTTTAGCGAAATCAAAACTGTCTTTAGAAAACACAATGCAAAGCACAGCTTTACAGTGAACTCCCTTCAGTGTCTACAAAATTCAATTTTATGGAGGAAAAATCTATAATACCACGAGAGTTAAAAAATACTCTCCTACAACACTGTACCAACACAACTTACATGTTGAGGATGGAACTCCCATGGGGGCTGTCCCGGGTGTCTGGGGTTAAACCCTGGGGGATACTGTCCCTGTGGATAGGGTCCACCATGGGGTGGCATGGGTCCCTGCATTCCAGGGGGTGTCATCCTCCACTGACCTGGGTACCCTGGTCTCATCATCTCAGGACCTGGACCTCTCATCACCTCCCCCTGGGGACCCCTGGGGCCAAAACCTTCCATATCTGGAACACACAAATCCACATCAAAATTACATAAATGAAATAATAGTATTAATAACAAAATCAATACAAATAAAAGTAATATAAAAGTTATCTTATTTAATGCCTTACTTCTTTACATCAATTAGCTATCTACCTTGAATTGTACAAAATAAATTGATTAATCCCATTTGAAAAAGTGCCATCATCTAGATTTCTTGCAAGATGGAAGGTGCAAATTTCTAGTCACATCATTCTTATATACAATAAGCTATAACCTAAATAATTACCATGGCAAAAAACTGAGCCTATAAGGCTGGCTTGTTTATAATATTCCATTTTTCTTAGTAGATGAATAGACAAAAAGAAATGTAATTTTCTACAAGCTGGGATATATAACTTGAAATATATAATCAACTGTAGAGGCTACTCACCTGGTCTTATTTGTCCAGGGTGTGGTGGTCTCATCATTTGTTCCTGCCAGCCCCCCTCTCCCTGGGGTCCACGTGGGCCAAACTGAGCACCTGGATACCCTGGGGGTGGGGGCCTAGGCATGCCGGATATCTGACCTGGCATCTGACCCTGAGGTATTGGCATTTGACCTTGAGGCCTTTGCATCTGGCCTTGAGGACCTGGCATTTGACCTTGAGGACCAGGTATTTGACCTTGAGGACCAGGCATCTGTCCTTGAGGACCAGGCATCTGTCCTTGAGGACCAGGCATCTGTCCTTGAGGACCAGGCATCTGTCCTTGAGGACCTGATATCTGACCTTGAGGGCCTGGCATCTGACCTTGGGGGCCTGGCATCTGACCTTGGGATACTGGCATCTGACCTTGGGATACTGACATTTGACCTTGTGAACCTGGAAGAATTTAAAAAGACTACTTAAAAGCTGAATTATCAAACTGAATAATTAAACCTTTAATTTCACAGTACTGATAAACTTTTATATGAGTTTAGAGATGCAGTACACCTATGGCACTTTGTTAAATCCATCAGTTGTAATCCTGTCAACTTGAGAACTGACTACCAAGTAGACTACCTTGTGGTTGCTGTGGTCCTAATTCCTCTTCACTGGGCCAATGGTGTAAAGGTACATTGGCTCCTCCACCATCTCTGAACTGCTGCTCCATCTGCTTCTGTTTCTGGCTCTCCTTGGCCTTGGTGGCAAGGAGCTCACGCAGGTGCTGGCGGTGTGCATCTGACTTGGGATCTCCATCTCCTGGCTATTATAATACAGTAATAATAATAATAATAATAATAACAATAATAATAATGGAGCTTTATACAGGTGATCACACAGATGATGAATATCTTAACCAAGTGTTACAATAAAAAAATGTTTTGAATGACTTTTTACACTCACTTTTGCTTTTTTGGTCAGGTTTATTATATGAAGTGTGGTTTCATCTGTTAACCAAAACACATGCAAACTATTACCTACAAGTCACGCGAGAGAACAGTCAATGTAGACTAGATACCATGCAAACATAATCTAAATTCACTTCATTTTACTGAACAACGATAAATCCATAAAAAAGAAAGGGACAATCAACATGTGTGACATTTGTTTAGTTGTAGGATGAAGTCCCTATTCAAACAAGTGCATTTCTTTCAATTTGTGAACCTCCCTTATTTCAAAGGACATTTTAATTTGTTTGCTCTGACACATGATGATACTTATTTTTCAACAGATTTTCATTATTTGGAAATAAAGTATATCTGAAATTTCAAAACCTTTAATATCACATTTTAAACCTGGCAATTTATAAATCATATATACTTAACTATTTGATTATTTAAAGCTGCCATCTAATAATGTTAGTACTATAAACAGGAAAAAATTCTAATCATCTATTTCTCTTTATATAACTTGAAGCATGATTATTAAGCCACATCTTGCCATATATGGACTAATGACTATATATGGTATATATTTCCATATAAGGACCATTTGCCATATAAAGGCAAAGTTATCTATCCAGCCCCACTAGAAGAGTTTAGTTCTACTGTACCCACCATGCTAATCTCACACATTTAAAAGCTAAGCTCTCCCCCTCCCTTCTTTTTTAATGAACCTGCAGTTAATACCTTCTGCAATGTGTACTTATAAATTTCTGAGACTATTCTGACAAGAAAAAGTTCATAAAAAATGCAATTTTGGAATGACCACTGATGCACATTACTGAAAGAGAGTTTTCTGAACTAACACTGGTGATAAATATTCATACACTTAATCCATTTATTGTGAGTCCTTATCTTTCCGTTGCTCAAAGAGTAAAAAAGTCACAAAACAGCTGTATTTTTCCTAAAAGATGCATCTATTTCACACAGTTCTGGGCCGCCGTGTTGAAAAAAGAAACATTATTGAATGCACTGCCACAGAGACAACTTACCCCTGCCCCTGTTTTATACACGGTAGAGTCAGTGGCATTTCTACCCTGTGGCTGTTGATGTCTTTGACTGAGGTAATATAACCTCTGACTGGAGAACATTTGGTGAAGCTAGAAGGATGGAAGAGAGAGAAAGCACACACATAGAGATGGAAAAACACACAAGGGGGCACAATGTTCTCCATTAACTTCACCCACAGAAATCTTTTCTTTTCTTCTTCCCCTGTATTACCCTCTCATTCCACACACCTTTCTATAACTTATAAGCCCAATCAGAACAGTGGACTAACAGATCTGCGGATCAAATATAACCTACCCACTTGAATGCTTGTTGCATAATCCCCGCAGGGCATCTATTCAGTATCTAATCGGAAATTAAGCAACAAGCTTTTAAGCCGGTCGCCATATTTGATCCGTGGGTCTGTTAGTCAGCTGTTTTGAACCTCCTCTATGATGGTTTGTTAATAAAGGAATTACAAACCAGATCAAATATAGTGTAACATTTAGTATTACAGAACACAATATCCCTTCATTTTACAACCCACTTTTACTTGGCACTGACTGGGGATCTTCTCTCTGAGTGTGGGAAGAAATAGTTAAACACACAGCAAAAAGGAGTGGGACAAAGAGCAATGGCACACTTGTCTCTCACCCTCTTCCTCTGACAGACAAAAGAGTATGTCACCAGAACTTTGATAAAAATCACAAATAGGACAAATTCCTTGATTCCAAGGGTGATGAAAAAGTCAATTAAACTGAGGTTTAGCAGAATGTCTCATCTGTGACTTATTTGACTTTTGCTACCCTTTGAAACAGTTTGAATGTCCACTTATAATATTAAAAAAAACCCGCCCACTAAATCTGTCTAGCTAGCAAACCCCCCTAACATGTCCACCCACCGGATTTGCTCATCTAACCCCAGAGAAAAATGTTCTTAACACACTATAACCAGTTAATGGAGAACACTGTAACACCCTAAAAACTTACAGACTGAAAGCAAACTTAAAAAGTTAGATCATAGCAACTCAGCATACACTAGCTGACCATGACATGTTGTCGGCATTTTCCCCCGACAGACATGCCTGTCAGTTAGCGAATACTGCAAAAGCAAAGCAAGGTCAAACTTGGATTCAACTAGTAAATAACATATACCAACACCAGGGGCGGATTTAGGCCGTCTTCTGGGTCTTCCGGAAGACGGTCAGATTTTCAAGTTTACATTGACGGGTATCCAATTTTTCATGTTGGAAGACGGTCAAAATTGAAGGATGAATCAACAAAGATAATTTGGAAGACTGTCAGTAAATAGCTCTGGATCTGCCCCTGAACACTGTGTGGAGTTCCTTTTGGTCAAAGTATGGTTAATATTTTAAGAATGTAATTTTCAAAGTATTATATACACATGTCCAATTTGCAAGAAAGAATTATACATTAAAGATATAAGTCCACTAGATCTGCTAGCTAAAATCATTTTGATTTGTCGATCATTTTGACTGAAAAATTATGGATGTACAACACATGCTTTAGTATTTCATTTTCAATATATCTTATATATACCCCCAATTTGAAGGAGATAAACCTCCCAAGAAGCTGGCAATGCTCTACATCAGATAAAATCCAAGTCTGACATCAAAATTATAAATAAAATAAAACACCACTTGCTTACACAACTACTTCCCACTGCTAAACCAGTAGTTCACACGATTCTACAAGTTACTGACCACCTCTAGGTTACAGACTGGGCACACATTAAGGCTCTGCTGCTGTTTATGTCTGACCAGAAGTGGACAAAGCCTGACCATAACTGGACAAACACCCCAGCAGGTCACCTGCAAAGTGACACTTCATACAGCAATAAAAATTTGAGAGTATTAACCCCCCCCTTTTTTGTCTTTCCTGTTAAGATTCTTGCCGTAAATTTTCTTAATGTAATGAATGCATTTTGATACAAATAATGAAATGGAATTTTTAAAGAATCCTTTCAAATAATCAAGAAAGGCCATGATATCCTACAATTTGCAGAATCATGAAAGGATGTCACCATGCCTATGAAGCATCACTTTTCTGATGACCAGAGAGAAAAAGTTATTAACTGCAGCAAGTATAAAGAGCAGTCGTTAGCGATTAAGAACAGTACCACTCTCAGGATGACTTACGACTGCAGTGGACGTGCTGGGGTCCAGTCCCTGGAGGTTGGGGTCAGCAAACCTGGGCGCGGTGGACAGCATCTGCTGCAGCTGACTGTTCTGACCACTGGTAGGGGGACGCGGAGTGGGCGCCATGCCACCCTGTCCGTACCCTCCCTCCTTGGGGCGTATCATGCCGGGCCCTGGTAGCCGAAATTCCCTGGGGCTGGTTGGGTGTGGTACTCCCCCTGCCTGGCTGTAGGGGTGGGGCATCCCAGGGTGGGGCCCATGCCACACATCATGAGGGGGTCTAGGCCCACCAGGGGGTCTATTGAAGGGATCCCCTGGATGTGTAGGCATACCCTGGGCCTGGCTGTAAGGTACTCCTGGTCTCGGGCCCTGCTGGTGCCCTGGGGGAAGGCCATGGCCTGGATGTGGTGGGCCCTGCATGTGAGGAGCCATAGGGTGCTGTTGCTGTTGTTGTTGTTGTGGTCTTGGTGTCATTGGCTGTCTGGCATAGGGGTCCTCAGGTCCTGGGGGTCTTGGTGTATGAGGGGGCTGGGCATAAGGATCTGGCATGACCTTGAGGGCTTGCTGTGGAGGAGGGCCTGGATATCCCTCTTGTGGCCTCCCCTGACCCGGGTGTGGCCCACCAGGTTGTGGGGTCCCTGGGGGTTGGCTGTACGGGTCAGGGGGCATTCTCTGTTCTCCGGGCATTCTCTGTTCTCCAGGCCTTCCTGGGGGCATTCCCATTTGAGACTGAGAGTACTGAGGAGAGGCCCCTGGCTGGTTGTTTAAGTTGTCTGGCTTGTTGGCGTTCCCCCCATCCTGACTACCTGGTCTGGGTGTCCCTGGGGGCATGGCATAGGGGTCCCACTGCTGCTGCTGGGGTGGAGGCTGTTGTTGCTGTTGTTGGGGCCCAAATGGGGGCACACCTTGGCTCTCTGGAGTGCTGGGGTGTGGTGAACCTAAAATATCAGCCAGGGATTTCATGAATACATTGGCCAGACTGTACAGACTACATCTGATGCTACTAGGCTTCACAAACAATCTTCAATCTATCCTTATCTAATCCAAATCCAATACAGTCTTACAGTAATCATCTTTCGAATATCTAATTACTTTCTGGTCTCAAAGAGGATTAACCACTAACTTACACATGAAAGTGTATCATAATTTAGTAAACGACATTCCTGACCACAAAATAACATCATCAATATCATACATCAAAGTGATCCAAGGGTATGGGTAGTGGTCAAAAACTCTTTCACAATTATGAGTCATGAGCACCAGTTTCAATACTTAAAATAGTGTTAGAACATACCCTGTGTACTCCCAGGAGTCATAGACCCACGTGGACTGTCCGAGTTCAGGGCTTCCAACTCCATCTTCCTCTCCTGTGCCCGGATCTGCTGCAGCAGCTTCCACTGCCTCTCCTGCTCCTGAAACTTCTGCTCCCTCTCCAACTGCTCCTGGCTCTTCGGCCCCGGCACATGAGCCTGGGGGTGGGGCGGGGGTGGGGGAGGGAGCATGCCCGTTGGTGGCATCCCTGGGGGAGGGGGAGGCATACCAGGGGGTGGCATCCCTCCTGCAGCTGAGGGGTCCTGCTGCTTCTTCCTGATGTCCTGTATCTGAAGTAGGAGAAGAGGTGTGAGAATTTTTAGAAAGTGGGCTAGTACAAATACCAATTGTGTTTTTTTTAATTAGCAAAAACATGTGGCAAAGATTATTAGCATCATCAAAGTGCTAAGTTCACAAATCAAAACAAACTAAAACAGTCAAGAAAGAACAGTGCAAATTTAATGTTTAATTTCAGCTAGAGCAAAAGGCGTGGATTGAACAACAGTAACTCAAATGCATTCTTAATATAAAATTATTCTGATGTTAAGCCTCCAAGTTACACAATCATAAACACTCTAACAAAATACAATCACGTGTGACTGAAGTGCCAAGAATCAACAAAAACATAAAAATCATGCAGAAGTGAAGAAAAGTGATACTGACATTTTTTACCTTCTGGGCTTTGGAGAGTCGACTGCTGGCTCTGTTCTCTCTGGCTTTTTGCTGTTGGATATAAAATCAATTTGGCATAAATTGTAATCCAGATATTGTAAGGATTTTCATGCGTCAGTTGTTAATAACATTATTTTAAGTTTAGACCCCCATCTTTTTTCAGGTAAAACAGTGTAATTGATATAATTACCATATTTAAATAAACCTATGAAAAGGCACAGTCTTCATATCACACAGACAATTATCCATCAACAATATCCACTTACCAAATATGGCTGCTTCTCCTCTGTTGGGACCTTTCTCCACAGTTTAGTGATCTGTTTAATCCTCTCCGACCACTCAGGGTACTGCGTCTTCAGCTCAGGATGCATGATGTTACAGTACAGGACCGGGGTAATAGTCGCCTTGTCTCCCATTGGCTCATCATGCTCCCATTTGGCCAAATTGCGTTTGTTCTGCGAGGCGCTGTCTGGTTCAAAGTCGTCACCTGGTAGGTGGGGCCACTGTGGGGTTGCTGGACCCCCTGCAAAGCCTGGGCTAAACTGACCACTGAAGGACAATAAAAACAAACTAAACATCTGTCATAAAGGCAAGACACTAACACCCCTTTTTGCTTACACTTTCAAAGCATTTTATTAAGCTGTGTCATTCAATTTATTCTCATTCACTAAGAAAACACTAGAATACACTACAAGATTGCTTTAACATACTACAGCAGGGCTGCAATGCTGTTCACTGACCTGCCCATTTCCCCTCCATATGGTGAGTGTGGTGGCATTCCAAATGGTGGTGGCCCTGACCTTGGTGACATTCCACCAGGACTGTGACCTTCACCTTGACCCATATGCATGGGTCCATGACCTGGAAGCCTTAACTGCTGATCGTGACCTGACTGGGGTGGCATTGGCATCATGCTTTGACCTGCAGAGAATTAAGTATACAGAAACTAAAAAATCATCATATGCATTGCAAAAGAATACAAAACACATGTCTGTTTGGTTCTGGAATCTTGAGCTGTAATACATCCTCTATAAATATGAACTGCATTTTAGCAATGTATCAACTATTTAACACTTCTTGGTCACAATGAACTGAACAAAACAGCGCTATCAACCCAACATAATCATGCAATTCCTTATGTTTCCAGCTATAGTTCTTAAATACTCTTCATTCCTTAGCTTTCCATCATACATGTTTCATCATGTAAATTCCATTAAATATTTTATATAATTCAACAGCAAAGGGCTCCTGTGCAATATTTGACATAAGCTCACAAAAACAAATTTCTCTTAAAAACATAAAAATACATTGTGACCTACCTTGCATTGGACTGTGCACATGTAACCCAGTCTCTGGCTGCCGCTGACCTTGGTTTGGCCTTGCCTGACCTTGACCTTCCATCTGAACTTGACCCTGTGACTGCTGAGGCTGCTGCAATGTGGGACTCATTAGAGGTGGGAGGTTAAAGTTACCATCCCCCTCTGCACCCGGACTAGTCAGGGGATTGTGTTCCAGGACTCCTTTAAATAAATCCTCCACTGTTTTACTGTCAATCTGGGCAAGACCTGAAAACAATAAAAACAAAAACATAGTACTTTTTGTCTGTTAATATACTGTAATTATGGGATACTTACTCTCTTGATAAGCCTGTCATTTCAAAAATGTTACTCTTTTAATTGTTTGAATATTAATGTCATAACCATAGCCTATAAAAGTTACATCACAGAAAAAATATAGAGTGAATTTATATACAATCTTTGAAGTTTGGAATTTTTATCTATTTCAATACCCTGCTATTTTACCTTAAAAGCTAAAACTTACTAGACAGCACTTTGTCCACATCCATCTTGTCCATGTCCTGTTCCCCGTGCTGTCCACCCATCAATTCCTCGTCCTTAGAGATGTCCTCACTGTCCAAGATGTCCATCAGCTCATCATCATGGACATCGTGGCTGAGGTCAACACCACCCAAGATGTCCTTCAGGTCATCTGTGAGTCAAAGGTCATAAACATGAGATAAGGTCACAAACATGAAATCAGGTCTCAGAAAAGACTGTTTTATTCAGCCTCAACTGTCTGACAGATATATGAATAGGTAAGAAAGGCGAGCTAACATTGATAGAATCAATGTAAATGTGAAAAATATTACTTACAGTCTGACACGAGAAGATGCACATAAAACTCTAATAATATTTTCTGTTTCTATACACCATTGGTTTATATTCAAAAGGTTAAACAGCAATTCTTTTAGATACTTAAAATGTGCCAGTAAAATCTCTCTCTCTCACTCTCTCACCTAGGTCTTCCCCTTGTTCTTGTTGCTGCTGCTGTTTCTGTGTGTTGGAAGCTGTTGATGCTGATGCTGCCTGTGTAGGTGAGATGTTCACAGTGAACCCATCACTGCGCTCTAGACTGGCTGCTTTCTGCGGGGACTGCTCGCCTGTCTCGGCCACCGCAGGGGCTTCCCCACCCAACTGACTACCTTCGTCAGGAGTTTTGCTCTTGTCCAATAAGATCTTGCCAAAAAAGGCCTCCTGATTAACAAAACAAAAATTGTTACATTTTTGTTGGGACATTTTATTACATGATATCCGTTTTCTAATACAAGGTTCCATTTAATATGTAAATAAAAACTTCTGTAAAATCAAGTTATTCCCTCTTCAAAAATTACTTGCCTGTATATAAGCTGGGAAATTTTCTTCCAAGTTACTTTTCTTTTTTATTCTTCTTTGTCTTTTGGCTTTCTTTGTTTTATCATCTAATCCTTCCCCATCTGAAATAATTACAAAACAAAAATTTTAGTTTAAACTGCTTTTTTTCTGAAATATTTACAGAATGATTTATTCCTCGAGACAAATACTAAATGCATATGAATGACATTTAAATCTTAATAAAGGTGTAGTGATATCACAATTTACATTAATCAGCCTTTCAAGTGTTTCAGCATAATAATAATAATAAACCTCTACCTCCACCTTCCATTTTTGTGGGTGAGGTATCTCTCTGCTGAGGTAGATCTATCCCAGCAGCCTTTGCCAACAATGTCTTCTTGATCATGTGACTTCTAGCCCTAGGTTTGGCAATGAAGCCCCCTACTCCTGGCTTGAAAGGTTTCCTCTGCCGTTTTTTCTTTTCTGGTATTCCAGGTACCTCGGGGGACTTCACTGCTGCTATCTCAGCAGTTTCTTCTGCTATGGATTTTGTTTCTTCATCCATAATATGATCATACTCTGAAAAAATATTGAAACATACTATAACAGCCATAAAAAGATTATAAAAGTACTTAGAAAACAACCTTACATTACATCTTTGTAGCATAAATATCACTTTAAATTAATTTCCTAGTTTATCCTGTCATCTTACAATCATCATTTCTTCTATTTCCAACTTCTAAATGTCATTGCCTTTCTCGCATTTCTATCTTGCATGCAACCACACAAACAGTCAACTCAGATAACATCACCAAAGTATAATTTTGGGTAAGAAAAAAAAATCTGAACAGGATTTCCTTACAAAATACTACAGAGTGAAAAAAAAAAATGCACTAGTTGAAACCATACTACTGATTTTCTTGATAGAAGTTACCTTTTCCTTCAATGAAGTCCCCTTGCTCAGACTTCTCCCCTGGGCTGAGCAGACCAGCCATATGGGGGTGTTTAAACGAGTCCCCAGGAAGTTTGGAGGGTCTGCGCTGTCTCTTTTTGGCTGGAGGTGGAGGTACGGTCAGTGCCTTGATCTGCTCCATGCCACTCTCGGACAGACATATCCCGTCCACGACAAACTGGACAGAGGGGCTCTTTGGGGTGTCCATCTCCTTGTGGATAGGGGAGGCTGGGAGGGACTCAACTTTGGGTGGCGGAGGTGGGGCTGAGAATTAGAAAAGGCAAGTTTAACATGATATCAATTATATAAAGGATATCAGAGTATCTAATACATCAACTGATGTGCAGGTAGCAAGACAGACACAATATTGATGAAGATGCTAAAACCAGATAAATTCAAATGGCACTTCAATTAGATCAAATTAAGTGACAGTAGTGTTCTGCATTTCTACTGACACACATACATTTTCAGTGGCAATCTGACTGGTGAAAGCTACATTTAGTGTATTAAACGGTAGATTATGATTTTTTTTCTTTTGATTGAATTTTTTATTTTAATTGAAATTTTGGTTTATTAACACTTAGTGACAGTTTTAACATAGTGTGTCCACTTACGAGGAGGCGGTGGCGCCCCAGTTTTAGGTCTGCACATAAGACAGTGATAACCTGCATCTGCTGCCCTTTCCGTATCATCCTCATTCTTCATTCCATCGCAAATACTGTGTAGCCACCTGGTGGGAAAAATAATCAACACTTTTGTTTGGGATATATGTAATAGAGCTTTTCTAATTTCAGATAAGACTGCACTTCATTAGGTATAGACATTTCATGTCCAACATGCACATATCTTATTTTATAACTTTGATATGTATATAAAGTACAACTGGATAACTAATGCAACATATTCATAATACACTACCTGTCGCAGTGACAGCACTGTATAATGAGTTCCTCCTCCTTGTAATGTTTCTTGCACACTGGACATGCGGTCAGGCTATGACACGGTCCACACTGGGTGTAGTTACTCTGCCACTGACCACCATATCCTGGGGTGGTGGAGCCACAGGTGTAACAAATAACACACCTGGAATGGACACAAGGAGTTAATATATAAGTAACGCACGCACGCACGCATGCACGCACACACACACAAAAGTAAATCATGATCCCCAATATGTCAACCATCAAAAGGTAAAATGAGGTATATTAAAGGGATGCCAAAACTAAATGATAACATTACTTCTACACAAGCACCACAATTACACTAGGAATAATTGGACAGATGTGATTAACTGTAAATGACAATAAAATTTTCATTTTTAAGCACTTCCACTAAACATATACATATGGAACTCAATTACCTATTTTAATTTTTGAGTGTGTGTGTGCACAAGCAAGAGCACATGCCACACATATTGACAGGGATTTTGACTAATTTCGACAATTCTGGGGTCTAGTAACTCACCATTTACACTTCCAGTTTCCCTTGGGCACATGATCCAGAGGGGGGTCTAAGCAGTAGATGTGATAGCTGATGTCGCAATCGTCACAAAGAAGGAGACGCCCCTCATCATGTGGCTTCCCACAACCCTCACACACGGTGCAGTCTAGACAACGCCAGCCCTTCTTCAATACTACCTGCGTAGGCTGGAATTACACAGCAAAATATTAAAAGGCAAAGTTTTAAAATCACCATATTCTTCGAAGGATCTAATTTTTTGCCTGCATTTCAGCTACAGTCAACAATTCAGACGGGTATTGTAATACCAGAGTTATTCAAGAAGACAACATTTCTTTTAGGAAAAAACAGATGCCCAAATAAACAAATCAATCATTTAAATACCATATATCAGATAATCAAATAAATGATCATATAAACAAATAAATAAATAAAGCCAAACTCACCCTGATCTGCACACAGTAAGAGTGGTAGCACTGTCCACACTGTGTACACACTATCAGTTTGCCTTCATCTCCTTTACCATAGCTACCACAGCTATAACACATATCCTGAACAGAAATAGGACCGTTTTAGATTTTAAAAATACAACCTTTTCAGTACACAAGTATAAATATATAGGCTATCCCTAGTGTAAAAATATTTAACCCAAATAATATAGTAGAATTTATTTACCCTAAAGAAAATTCTGAGTGAAACCAATGAAAAAATTTTGGGAAAAAAAATTACGTCCTACATTTCCTCAGCATAACAAAACCGTGAGTGCTGTGATCACATACCTGTTTGAGCACATAGTCATCGTCCTTGGAGCACACCACCACAGTGGAGTGATGGTCATCCTCCTTTCCACTGTCTGTGTTAGAGGAGGCGCTCACCTGGAAGAAGACCAAGGAGAGAAATAGCTGGGGATCTTGAAATTTACTGTGCTTTTCTCTGTCTCAAAATACAGTGGTTACATAATGCTATACAATCTACTGAAAAAGTTGGGAAATTCTTAGTCAAATCAATGTACACCTGTTTAGAACCTTTCGTTTCTTTAAAGTGGTAGTTGTTAATTTTATTTACCAGAAGATAACCATGGCCACAGACAACTGCAATGCATATTGAACATTAAAAATAACAAATGAAAGCACATACTGCTAAGCTACACATCGAAATTTTAAGATTTGTTAAGATAAACATTTTTAAAAACTAATTTTTTTCTCTTTTTGAACACTGTCCCATACCTGAGTGGTGCTAGCTGCTGCCTGTCCTCCACTGGCACCACTGCTGGCACCACCCCCGCCACCACCTTTGTTTTTTAACTTCACCGCCGGACGTTTCTTTTCCCCTGTGCCAGTGGGGCGCTTCTGGGCCTTTTTACCAGTGCTCTGGAACAAAAAATTAATACATTTAAGACGTAAGTTTCATGAGCATTTCAAAACATTAACATAAGTGAGAATTTATATGGGGCCAAGCCCTATGTAACAGAAATCAAGTGAATATTTTATGTTGAAGGCGTTTTCCAAAACAGAAAGTCATACATTATTCTGTTTCTTCTAGATGAGATAATTGTCAATCTATATTTTAAAAGGTTCATTCAGAACAAAGGAATACAAACAGGCAAATTCATTTATAGCTATGTTCTACAGCTTTTATAATATGAAGTATGGATGCTATACAAATACAGATAGAACTTGGGGCATTTCTGCTTAATATTCCACTGTCACAAATGGTGTATATATTCTCAATGACAAGATAACATAACATGAAACAAAATGAATATCTTCATACCCTTGCTCTCCCAGTGTTTGTGCTGGGAACCTTCTTCTTCCCTACAGAAGACGGCTTCCCCTTGCCGGGCCCTGCTATCTTGGAAGCTGCCGCCACCGCCCCAGAGCCACTTTTCAACATGGCGGACAGATGAGGGGACTGCTGATTGGTTAACTGTGCTAACTGTGCTGCCCCCTACAAGATAAGATGGTTTAGGCACTGAGACTATAGGACTTGGAAAATCTAGTTATTTCTCAGCATATCTTTTTTTAATTTTCCATAAACATATTCACCTTTTTTTATAAAATTTATATTTGTTTATTTACTTGGTATATTCATTAATGTATTTATTCACCCAATCATTCATGTACCCGTTCTATTTCATATATATATATATATATATATATATTTCTTTTATCATTATTATTCATTTATCTATTTTTGTAGTGAGCAGGTTAACCACAGAAAAGCTGTCAACAGCCTGACATAGGTGTAAAACTCTCTGGATATCATACGCATCAAAACTTTGATATATAACAAAGTTCCTCACCTTTTCCAGCACGTTGAGATCAATGTCCATACTGGACATGGAGTTATCGTCCAGCAGCAGGGACTCCTGGGAACTCTGCAGGTCCGCCTCCTGGAGGCTCTCCTCGTTGACTGACCCTTCTGTCTCTGGAATATTGATAACAATAATAATAATAATAATAATAATAATAATAATAATAATAATAATAATAATAATACTTTATAATAATAATTTCCTCAACATTTCTGGGCTGGGCCTACCTTATTGATAAAGAAAAAATTGCAAATATTTTTAGGAAAATAAATTTTGTAAGCACATTTTAAAAACGTCTAATACCCATGATATGCCTCTTAATTAAAGTGGAGTTGAACTTACGTTGAAATATACTGAAGTCCTGCATGTCCACCAGGTCTGTCTCCTCAATCATACTGTTCAGACTCTCAGTCAGGTTGGTCTCCATCTGGAAAAATAGGTCAATTAAATTCAATGTTACAAGCAATTCCAATGACCACCATAAGATACATGTTTCATGTCCAATTCTAAGGATAAAAGTGGAAGAATTTATCATCTTTATCACAACCCGCACTTATTTTTGCATTTCTGGACAGGCTTGGAAAATGAGGATATTTAGTTCTTCATATGTTCTTATTCTCTGCAATCAGTCACATTTCTAATACAGACCTATGTTGACATTTACACCTACCAGCTACATCATGTCAAAAATACAGACAGACTAGTAGCGTCTAACATGTTTGAATATGTTTTTCTTTGTCAACAATTCATTTTGTATTTTTTTAATTAAATAACACAAGTTAACTTTATACAAAACCTTCATAACTGGATATTGTAATCTCAACATAAAATCAGACTAATCTTGAGAAAAAAAGTTCATTGATTAGCTTGGAATTTGAATACACAACTATCTGAGACAAGCTGGAAGAAAAAAAATCCAGCTTATGTAAAATAGTTATGATTTACTCTTATATTGAAAAAGTTAAAAACGTCAGTACTTACCGGCACATCGTCTGGAGGTCTGTCTTTGCAAACAGAGCACACATACTCTGCCTGCTGCTGAGGAGTGAAGGCTCCAAAGTCCACTGCGCTGTCACAGTCGTTGTGAACATACCTGAAACAGAGAATGATTTCTCAGTAACATCATGCACCATGCATGAGCTATTTTCTAGGAATGTGATTGTTTCAGATTAAAAGGTCTGAAAATCAGGACGCCACCTGAATAATCACATTTATCAAACTGGTTGATCTATAAGATGATGCTAGTGGTAACATCTGCTTACCAGCAGCATCTAAATTATGCAGCCTTGAAATGAGTGGTCTACAAAGTTGCTTCAATGTTTTCCTTTTCTAAATTTATTTTTATCTTGCTTTAAAGTCTATACAACGGGGAAAAACTTGAAAAAAAAATT